TGACCCTCCCCCCAGCTCTGCTTCCCGGCCCCTCCCTTCCTCTCAGCCAGCCCCGCCCCCTCCCCCCATGAAGTGTGTCCGGTATTTTTTTTAAGACTACCTGGTAACCCTAGTTATAAGCAAGTAAAACAGCTAAACAACATTTTAATCATGTTTCTCAGAAGAAATTCAGATTTGGTCTGAAAACAATTATGAAGCATTTTGGATTCAAGCATAATTTTATGTATGTTTATAAGGACATGAGAACAGGATCTTGGAATGGAAGTGTCTGATCAGTACACTTTCTACTACAAATGAGGCTTTATCATTGTTAAGATCCAAGTGACAGACATCTATTTAAAACTCAAGAAACTTGTCTTAATGTGGTAAATAAGAGGATATTATTAAAAAGCAGAGGTGCTAATCCTTATGCTGATTAAAGAGGTCTTCCTTCTGTGCAAGAATCTGTTCTGCTTCCTCCCATATTCTTTACCAGTCTACTTTGTAGTATAATGGAATAATGTCCGCATGTGTTTAGGATATTGCATCAAATTAGTTGAGCATGTATGGAATTTGTCATACATTAGTGCAAGAGGGCAGCATGGATTTAATGAAACAAAGAGGTCAACAGAGTATGTGTAGCTATTTGCTCTAGGTAAGTGTGTAATATTAAAATGACTTTTAACAAGTAGAACTAAAATTGCACCTGCTTTGGCTAATTAAAACATATGGTAACTATACAGGATTACAGGAAGAGTTGAAGGCTCTCTCTAACTACCCCATCAAGTGCTTACTACAGAGAACTAAAAATACTAACTGAATTCAACTGCTATTGGCTGTTGCTATGAAAGCACAAACAGTTTTGTCTCTGCAGTGAGAGACAGACTCTTGGAGCTGGAGCACTCAGAGACTCCAGCGTTTTTAGGAGATATTGTAGGTGACTAGGAGACAGGAGACCCAATTTCTATTTCCAGCACAGCCACTGACTCACTGTACAAACTGGGGAAAGTCAATTTCTTCCTCTTGCTTAATTTTCCTCCCATCTCCTCCAACAGAGCCTTTTCAAGATTCAAAATGCAGGACAATGTAGCACTTTAAAGACTAACAAGATGGTTTCAAGCTTTTCAAGATTCAACTTTCTAAAATGTTTTGAAGTTGCTGTGTAAAAGGTATAATAAGTTTGAAGTAGGGATGTGAACGGGTAACCTTAACGTATGATCCTTGTCACGTAACCGGTACCTGGGAGCAGCTCTTCCCCACTCCCCCTTTCGCAGAGGGCAGCTCAAGCCAGCATGCATGGGGCTGGAAAAGCCTCCCCACCCACTCTCTCTGGACTGGAGCAACTCTCCCCACCCCTCCGCACGCCCCAGCAGCAGGCAAGCAGATCCTGCCTGTGGCAGGGGGTGTTGCTACTGCCCAGACCACCCTTTAATTGATTAACTGGTTAAATACTGCATTTAACTGGTTAACTTATTAAACAGGATTTTATATCCCTACTTCAAAGTATTATCTACAATAGTTTCCTTAGGCTTGACTGACACTTAGATGTTAGTGTTCCACAGCTATGGCACTCAGGGGTATGACAAACCCTAATGCCTGAGCACCACAGCTATGCCAACCTGACTCATAACATAGGTATAGTTGGGTCAAAGAAAAAAATGCTTCCATCAAAAAAGCTATCATCACTTGAGAATGTGATGGGAAAAATTCCTTCCATCATCGTAGGTCATGCTTACACTATAATGGCATCATATCTATGCCTCTGTGGCCCAACACAAATTTGGCCTTATTGATTACATAAGTCTTGAGATCCAGGGAGATTGTAGGTAAAATCTTAGATGAGCACTTTACTCCATGTGCTGTTGACCTTCCTTGTACCCAAATTAGTTCAGCTGTAAAGAGCTTATAATAAAAAAATTAGGTACAGTACTCACTACTTCTGCACAAGCAGAACTTTTATGTAAGCATACTATTTTTTTAAAGGGAAAAAAGATAGCATATGTTTTCAATATCAGAAACTCTAGGCTTAGCCAGAGTCATTTTTGCTGTGGGCACCACCAATTTACAAAATGGTTTCAAATGGTAGATGCTAGGGATGCTTGGTATAGTTTAATAATCGTGTAAACACGCCAAATCTTAGCTGTTACACAATTATTCAATGTTTGCTGGGGGCTGGGCCGGCAGCCAGTGCGCTCCGTCCCACTCCTGACGAGCACCCTACCATCCCACATTGCTGCCTCTGTATCAAGCAGCATTAAAAATTGGCGCTGTGCACAGATGGACTTTTGCCTGCCCAGGGCTTATTGGTTAATCGTATTGTCAACTACACGTTGACATCCCTAACCACTGTAATGGTGATAAGTTGGTTCAGATGTGCCTGTGGCTTGCAAGTTTAAAAAAAGAGAGCGTGTATGAGTAATATCAATTTATTGAATTACCTAGAGTAAACTGAAGGAAATAAATCTCTTATATGAAGAGTATGGAAAACATTTCTGAAACAAAAACCGTCTAAAATAGAAAATAAATGGCATTCTATTACTTCCTGCCGTAATATTCACTAGCCCGTAACTAGTGCTCAGATGTCCAAGCTTGGCAAATAGAATACATTAAAAATGTATGTCAAAGCTAAATTTGCTACAGATCAATGGCTGAATATTCTGACTATATAAAGCCACAGCTGAAGTGGAGTGTGAGGACTGCCTAGCATTCCAGCTGCTTGGAAAGCCTCAGGCCTCCTCAAAGAGGTCTTTAGTTCCAGCTCCCACATAAGGACATTCATCTTTTAGATAGTTCTAGCAGTTAGAACATGTGTTCTATGGCTTGAAAAAACTGGGAGGCCTACAAGTTCATCTCCGCAATGCAGGCTGCCTTGGCACTGTTCACAGCCTATGGGGGAGAAGGCATAGAGTGCTTTTGCTAAATTAGCAACCCTCCCCTCCCCCCAGCAACTGATCACACAAGTTCTGTAGTCCAACTGCCTTCCAACCTTTAAGGTAACCATAATATCTGCAGATACTACAAGAAAAGGGAAGGGACAAGATTACAAAGAAAGAGAAAATCCACAAAAAAGGGCTTTGGTAAAAGTCTTAGTTGGCTTAAGGGAGGGAAGGATGGGGGGGAGATCACTGTTGATTTTAACAGCACATGAGCAAGAGACTATGAAAAGGGCTGAGCTCTAATAAAGCACAGCCAAGAACTGCTGCTCAGCTGCACCACAGTCTAAAGCATGAGTTCCCAAACTGGGGTGTGTGAGGAAATTCCAGGGGGGAGGGAGGGAGGTGGCGAGGTGACCCAGTCTCCCCGCCCCCCACCAAGTTTTGCTG